CCCTCAGCTCTTCATCTCAAGGACAGTGCTTTTCCACTTGAGCCACAGCGCCACTTCCGGTTTTCTGATGGTTAAGTGGAGATAAGAGTCTCATGGACTTTGCTGCCTGGGCTGGCTTTGAACTGCGATCCTCAGATCTCAGCCTCCTGAGTAGCTAGGAATACAGGCATGAGCCACCAGCCCTCGGCTTTCCAACTAATTCTTATCTTCAATTAATCACCAAAAAGCTGGAAGTGGAGCTGTGACTCCAGTGGTAGAACATTAGCCTTGTACAAAAAAAAGCTGAAGAACAGGGGGTCCAGTCCCTGAATTCAAGCCCTAGGGCCAACACACACACACATACACATGCACGCACGCACACACACACACACACACACATCCCATCAAGGAGATACATGGCCCTTTAGAACAAAGGACAGAAATGGGGGCTCCATAAAGGGAGACAGAGTCCTAAAGAGTGAGGACAATTATGACAGCTGAGGAGTAGGAGGGACTGACAGAAAGAAGGCAGGCCACGTGCTCTCAGCCAACTCTGTCTGATGGGAGCAGCTGGGGCCTCGGTAACCTGAGCCCCCTGCACCCTCCTCCCAGCTGTATTTATAGCCCTGGCCTGGCCATGTCCCCTACCCTCCAGATTTGAGGTCCAGGGACAGGAGGTCACAATGGAGGAGACAGGATTCCTTCATTTCATTCCAAGAGCTCCATATTGGTCTTTGGTCTCTCACCAAAGTATCTCCTTCAGGTGGAAGCACCCCATAATCATACCCCCCCAATCCTTCCAATCGCCCTCTGTGATAGGTCCTTCTTGAAACACACTCCCCACCCCAAACTTCCCCAGGGTCTCAGCTTGGCCAGCTTCAAGTCTAGCTTTGGTCTTTGCAGCTGGCACCCCTGAGCTTGCTGGCAGATCAAGTCCCTCTGTCCCCTCTTGTGGGCCAGGCGAGACCCCCTCTGCAGCCTTCCTCAGCAGCAGCAGCAGCAGCAGGAGCAGGAGTGGGGGGTGGAGGGGCAGCCAGGGAGTGACCCAAAATAACTCAGGGCTGAGAGTAAATTTAGCCCCACTGAGGGGAGGGGAGAGACCCTATTGGCCTGGGAGTGGGGAGGGAGGGCCCCCAGCGGGGAATCTGGGCTCCAGAAACAGCCTCAGAGGGGTGTCCAGGCCAGAGGAAGACAGACAGGCAGAGAGTGTGAAGGAGAGACACAAGGCAAAAGAGTCAGACCCCAGAGGGGACAGGGGAAGCTCATTGTGTAGCTGCGGAGGCCACTCTGGGAGAAGTTCTGCGATTCAACGTCCTCATGGGCCACCGTGGGCCCTGGCTGTATACCTCTGCCCTCTGGGCTCTGGTGGCCAGCCTGCTCCTCCCTCCTGCCATGACCCAGCAGCTGAGAGGGCCCGGGCTGGGCTTCAGCAACACCAACAACAATGCAGGAGTCCCCGGGCCTGCAGAGGACATGTCAGCTGAGTTTGGCCACCACCGCCACAGCCACAGGAGCCATCAAAGTGAGGAGGAAGAGGAAGAAGTGGCCACTGAAAATGCACATCATTTCCGGAGCCACAGAGACCCTGGGGAGGAGGAAGAGGAGGAGGCGGAGGAGGAAGATGGCTCCAGGGAATATGGCCACCAAATGCAAGGCCACAGATACCAAGGCCATGAAGATGGAGAGGAGAATGTGTCCCAGGAGGTCTTCACTGAGCATGTCCGGCCGATCACTCAGCACAGAAGCCTGAGCAAGGAAGATTTGGGAGACTCCACTGAGCACAGAGACCACTTTCCCAGCCACAGGAGCTACAGCCACAAAGATGAGGAGGACGAGGAGGACATTGTCTCCAGTGAGCACCACCGTCACATCCCCAGGCATGTCGACCAAGGCCATGGAGGGGGGGATGATGATGATGATGATGAAGGGGAGGAGGAGGAGGAGGTCTCCTCTGAGTATAGGCGCCAGGCCCACGGGCACCGAGGCCACAGGAAGGAAGAGGATGAAGAAGAATCAGAGGAACACCACCAGCACAGTCCTCATGATGGACACCAAGGCCATGAAGAAGGTGGACATCGCCGGACCCACGGCCACCAAGGCCATGGGAAAGACGACAGTGAGGACATCTCAAAAGAACACCAACGCCATGGCCACAGACATGAAGGCCACAAAGAGGATAGTGATGATTATGATGACGACTCTACTGAGAGTGGACACGAGACCCGTGGGCACCAGAGCCATGTAGATGATGATGACGATGATGACGATGATGATGATGATGGTGGCGGTGATGAAGAGGACTCTATTGAGAATGGACACCAGGCCCACAGGCACCAAGGCCACAAAAACGATGATGATGATGATGATGATGATGATGATGATGATAATTCCACTGAGAACGGACACCAAGGCCACAGCAAGCACAGAGGCCATGAAGATGATGACGACATCTCAGAGGAGCACCACCATCATGTCCCCAACCATGGGCCCCAAGGCCACAGAGATGATGATGATGAAGATGATGATGATGATATGTCCACTGAACATTGGCACCAGGCCCCCAGACACACCCATCATGGCCTCGGGGATGAGAGAGAAGAGGCAGAGGAAGAGGTGCCACGCGAGTTGAGCCACCACATTGCAGGAAGCGAAGAGGAGGAGGAGGTCCCAGGGGAGGATGACCCAGAAGGCCCACGTCATCACCGCCACAATGTCCCCAGGGACCAGGATGAGGACATCTCTGCCGAGCTTGATCCCGAGGCCCCCAGCCATAGGCAACAAGACCACCAAGGGGAACGCACGGGGGCTGGGGCCAGCAGTCATTTGCAAGAGGTTGATTCAGGAGAGGAGGAGGGGAAGGAGGAAGACCACAGCTCTGAGGAGGAAGGTCATGAAAGTGCAGAACAGCAGGCCCAAGGAGCCCGCCGTGGAAGCCTAGACAGGGATGCTGAGGAAGAAGAGGAGGAAGGTCATGGTCTCCATGTGAGCCGGGAAGACAATGAAAATGAAGAGGAGGAGGAGGAGGAAGAGCGGGCTGAGGTTAGGGCACCACTAAGCCAATATCATAAGACAGAGAAAGAGGAAGAGGAAGAGGAGGAGGGCCTGGAGGAAGATGAGCTCCCCTTCACCATCATCCCCAACCCCCTGGCTGGGAGGGAGGAGATCGGAGGCGGCTCCAGTGAGGAGGAGAGCGGAGAGGACACAGGTAAGTGACCTGGCTGGGGGGGGGGGGGAGGACAGACATGCAGGCAGCCAGAGTCACACCACCCTCTGTCCCCACAGGTCCCCAGGACATGCAGGACTATGGGAACTACCAGCCAGGGTCCCTGTGTGGCTACTGCTCCTTCTGCAACGTAGGTCCCCAGCCCAGCTCTTACACAAACAAGCTGTTCCTAGAACTTTGTCCCCTGGGGAGGCAGTGGAGGGGTAGGCTTTGAGCAAGGGGACAGCAGGGACAGGCTTGGGTACAAATAGATACTTTGGGTACCAATTGGAAGCCAGAAGGTTGGAGTGATGATCCAGGAAGGGGAGGAAGAGATCTGAGCTCCACCTATGGCTGGAGGGATGGCGACCAGAGTGGATAGTAGTGGTGGTTCAGGAGTGACAGGCTGTGGGGGAGAGTCAGGGGCAGAGGTGATGAAGGCTCCACCACAGACACTGTGGGACTTAGGGTTGAACTGGGGGGAAGACGGAGGAGCCCAGGGTGGGAGGCTAATGAGGGACAGGAGTCCGGGGGAATGTCACCTGGGACATGGGCGGATTCCTGGGGTGAGGGGCTCTGTCTAACCAGGCTCCTCTGGTCCCCAGCGATGCACTGAATGTGAGAACTGTCACTGTGACGAGGAAAACATGGGTGAACACTGTGACCAGTGCCAGGTGAGACCTCACCTGGGCCCACACACTCAGGCCTCAGGATGGCCTGGGATCTTCTGCCCAACCCCTCCCACCAGCCCCAGCCCTAAATCATGACCTTTGATCGCAAACTAACCCAACCCCTACTATCTGATGCTTCCACACCCCATATGACCTTAACCTACACTTAGCCGGCAGTTCTGACCTGACTCCACCTCTGACTCTCTCCCCATGCCCGCCCCCCAGCACTGCCAGTTCTGCTACCTCTGCCCACTGGTCTGTGAAACGGTCTGCACTCCGGGTAAGCATGCGCAGCCCAAGAAACCCTGCTGGGGGCGGAGCCAAACAGGAACAGCGGGCCAGAAGACGGTGGGCGGGGCCTCTGTTGGAGGGCGGGGCCTCTGTTGGAGGGCGTGGCCAAGAGCGTGGGCAGGGAGCCCGGAGAGGAGTGGTGGCTGAGGGGCGGTCCTAAAAGCCAGTGGGTGGGACCAAAGCAAGAAGACGTCGAGGGGGCGGGGTCACGGGAGAAAAGCATCCCCTTAATATCTATCGCGCCCGGGCTACCCCTCAATCCTCGTCTCGGCTTTTCCACAGGAAGCTACGTGGACTACTTCTCCTCTTCCTTGTATCAGTAAGTGTTGGGGTGTGAGGGGGGAAGAGACATGTTTAAGGGCCTCGTTTAAAAGAGAGCTGCCCAGCTGTGGGTTCTTGCATGACCCTTTGGACTCCCATTTTCTCACCCATGACCTGAGCGGCCTAAGGAGCTCTCAGAGTCTGGGGTGAGCGCCTGGAACTTGGTCTAACCTCTGTGTCCGTCCTCCACTCCAGAGTCCTGGCCGACATGCTAGAAACGCCCGAGCACTGATCTCGCCGCGGCTGCTGCGAGTTCGAGCCCGCCCTCCAGCCCCTTGACACCAAGCCGTATTTATTTCTCCGAATAAACGGGCCCCCGAATCTCATGGATGTCAGGCGTGGGGTCGATTCTCAGGGCATGGGGGGGGGGAATGTGGGTGGAGGAAGGGGGCCTGAGTCCAAGGCTTGGCCTCAGACACCAAGAGCCAGGGACCCCTGGATCCTGAGAGTGGCTGGTTGGTTTGAGATCCCAACCCACACAAACGCACAGAACTCGGGAGCTTTTTGAAACAGTTCTCTTTACCCGTGATCACTGATTGACGCCTGGGGCCTGGGGGGCCGACTAAGAGTCGGGGGTGGGGGGGCGAGGGCTCCACGCCGACCGCCCTCCACCCCATGCCATGTCGCCCAGTGGCATCTTGGAAAGAGGATTCTCCCATGCAAACCCCGGAGCCGGAGGGAAACCGGGGGGCGCACTTTGCACCCCCTACCCCTGGGGCACGGACATGGCCACAGCACGGGGGGGCGGGGAGGCCCCGGGGACACGAGACACGGGGGAGGGGAAAGGGACCCCGCCAGCCCGCAGATGACCCCCCCCCCGGGGACTGGGGACCTCACAGGGCGGGGCTGAGTGGCACAGGGGGCGAGGCTTGTAGCAGCGAGTCCCCCCCTCCCCTCCTTTCGGACGAAGAAGAAGGAAAACTTGGGCCCCGCGACTGGTCAGGAAAGAGGGGAAGGGGGCAGCCTCTCCCCGCATGCGGCCCGGGAGGGAAGCCCCGCCCCTTTCCGCAGGTGAAGGGCACCGGTCTCCCATCGGAAGCTGATCAATAAATTACAAAGTAGAGAAAAGAGAGGCGGAAGTTTGGGGGCGGAATCGCTGCCTGCCCTCTTCTTTCCCTCCCTCAGTCCAGTTCATATGGTTTGGTCCAGGCCCAGTCCATTTGTGCGGCGGGGGACACGCACTCCCCCGCTTGTCTGTACAGGTGGTCCGGTCCGCGGCGCCGGCTCCAGGACGCTTCTCCCTGGGCGAGACCATTCTCTGGGTAGGAGGGGGGATGGCCCAGTCTTCCATCCAAGTGCGGTCACCTGTATTGACGCCGGTCAGTGCACCCACTAGTTAAGATCACGGGGGTGTCTCCCCGCACCCCAAGATCACCCAGTACAATCCTCACCTGGAAGCCTACACTAGCAGGAATAAGTCCGGACCGAAACTCCATCTGCCCGGGAACTTCCAGAAGTCTGGCCTGGAGAGAGAGTGAGGCCCGATTCAGACTGGCACGCGACCCCCAGTGATTCCCGCAGTGTTTCTGCGGGCTCTGGCCTCTACCTCCCTCGGACCAGGCTCTTCATCAGTTTTCTTTCCCTTCCCCCACTCTGGATAGGAGACGTGGGAGAGAAAATGAAGAATACTGGAATTTTTTGGAGGCGGGGGGGGGGGGGGGGACCTGGAAGGTTGAGTCGCGCTCGGTTTCCCACCCAGAGCAAAGGGAAGGATCGCACTGTCCGCTTTTAGGACTTCCTTACCTTCGGGCTGCAGCTTTCGGAGAGGAAGCCCCGGCGATCCCAGGGCTCCTGCTGCCGCCGAACGAAAGTTGGGGGGCAACATCTCAGCCGAATCGGGGGTCACACCCCGGAGGTCCTTCTCTCGGAACATCTTCCGCCAGGACGGGGAGCGGCTGAAGGACTTGGCGCTGTCCTAGGTACAGCACCGGAGCCGACGGTGAAGGGAGGCGAACCCAGCTCTGACTCCGCCCCCTCCACAGACCACGCCCCGTGATGGCATCTCTTGGTCACGCCCACTTGCGTCAGTTCTGCCTTAGCCCCGCCCCTGGGCGTTAGCTCTCCTTCAGCCCCACCCCCTGCATATCAACTCTCCCCTGGCCCCGCCTCCTGGATGTCACTTCTCAGTTAGCTCCGCCCCTGCCCGGACTCAGCCTCCAACTACGATTGATTGGTAAGGCCAAGTCCCACCCCTTTTGCTCGGAAATCTGCAGTCGCACCCACCTCGTCCAGCCTTCTGTCAGTGCCTAAGGAGATGAGGTTGCTGAATTCCTTCTCCAGGAGCTGTCGAGCCTGGAGGGGAAGGTGAGGGAGGTTGAAGGGGGCGGTCCGAGTGGGCGACGCCCCGTGAGCTCGGGCCCCGCGGCGGCTCACCTGCGCGTTCTGCGTGGGGATCTGCAGGAGCAAGGCCAGGTCCGAGTAGTCGAAGGTCTCGTCCAGGGCAAGCAGCGCCCCGTGTACCCCGCTCTCGGTGAGGTTCGTGGCGAATTCCTTCAGGCCCAGCCCTGACACCCAGCCCATGACCCGCTCGTTGGACCACACCATCACATCTGGGGATGGAAGGGCCCCTCATCAGCAGTGGTGTCCATACCCGGACCCCATTTCCTTCCCGGCCACGTCCCCGGCCGGCTCCCCGCCCCACGGACACACACGTTAATAACTGCACGCTTCTCTCCCCCATCCTCCCCCCGTCTCTTTTGCCCCCGCCCTGCCTCGAGCTCCTCCACCTGGCTCCGACAGGGTCTCACCTCGGATCTGGGTCTGGCTCTCTTCCCGCCTCCGCTCCAGGTCCTTCCGGTCGTAGTTGAGTCGTTTCAGGCACATGATCCCGTAATGCAGACTCACCCTAGACAGCGGGAAGTGGAGTCACAGAGGAGCCCACGCCCAGTGGCTGCTGCTCTGACCGCCCCCCACCCCCCATCGGCTGTTCCAGGCATCTGTATTGACCACTGCCCCCAAAGAGGGCTGGACGTTGCCAGTGGACAGCTTCTATTGGCTAACCTGGACCGGGGCTGGAGCTAATGAGCCAAGCCGTGTTGGATATGAACTTTTCCAATGGACTTTCTTAGTGGATGGGTCGGAATTTTCTACTGTGTCAAAGATACTCCTAAGAATTTCCCATGGCCAGCCTCATTTGCTGAAGGCTGTCTAGTGGGTGGAGCTTCCCCTTGGACAGTCCCACACACACACCAGGCAGCTCCTACCTGTGGAAGCTGTCCACCATTTTGAGTTGGCCCCGGAGCTCCTTCTTGTTGAGGTGATCTAACATTCGGGCGTCCACAAGTGACTCCATGAAATAACTGCGGTACTGGGGCAGCCCCAGGCTGGGCAGCCAGTCGTTCCCCACCCACTCGTGGTTCATGTCGCCATATGCGAGGATCTGGGGCCATGGGCAGGTGAGGGAGGGGGTGTCAGGCCCTCCACCCCTTCCCATGTGTGGATGAAAGGAGTACCACCCAATCCCCCCCCCCAACACAAGAGTCAGACAGTGACCCATCTGCTGGGACAAGAGACCAGCCCAAAGTGTCTCTGCCTTCATTAGGACAGAAGAGAATCAAACTGTGGCTCTGAGTCTTCAGCTTCATCCTGCCACCAATATACTGGAATTGCCTTGGACCCCACCTGCTGAGATCCACATCTGTGTCTCCACAACTCCCAGTGACCTGACCTACACAGTCAATGTGTGTGTGTGTGTGTGTGTGTGTGTGTGTTGTGAATGCATGTGTGCAAGCTTGTGTGTACCAATACTGGGGCTTGAATTCAGGGCCTAGGCGCTGTCCCTTAGCTTTTACACTCAAGGCTAGTGTTCTACCCCTTGAGGCACACCCCCACTTTTGGCTTTTTGCTACTTAACTTGAGATATGAGTGTTATGGACGTTCCTGCCCAGGCAGGATCTCGGCTTCCTGAGTAGCTAGGATTACAAGCGTGAGCTGCACCAGCACTCAATTTACATTCCATTTTGAGAAGCAGCCATTTAACTCTGCCCCAACTGAGTCCAGCATGCTTATTCTTCCTAGTCAGGGCAAGTGAGCTCCTCTAATGTGATCTGGAAATCCTTGTGCTTCTAGAAAATAGAGCCTAATGCTGTACCTGGCCCAGGAGATAGTTCTGGATCTGCCCAAAGTCCCTCGCTCCCTGTAGCTTAAGGACACCCACATCGCCCCCTGGCTAAAGTCACAGGTCACAAACCAATATCCCACCTCCAGCTCAGATAAGCCCATATCTCCCCTTTCCTGAGAACAAAAGGGAGCTGGTTCTCCCCACTTTCTCATCCAACCTGAGGCCCCCTCCCCCATCCATCATAAGCCCAGGTAAAACTGGAACCATGCAGCTGCCTGTGCCCCCCCCCCATTTCCATCAACCATAACCAGACCGTTCAGCTTCTCCCCCCTAGGCCCCCCTGCTAGGCTGCCTGTGGACTAGGGGCTTCCACATGGGCCCCACCACACCCCAATGAGCCAGTCCAGAGATGAGATGGTGTTGTCCCTCACCACCAAGAAAATGATGGAATGTTCTGGCTGTCAAAGGAAGGGGCAGGGCTCAGAGACGGAGGGGCATCCATGCAGCATGCACAACCTGGTCATGCACCCCACCGTCCCACCCCGCGCCCCTACCTGCTCCCAGCTGATCTCCTTGGTCTCCTGACCCGTTAGTGGGAAGAGGGGAGAGAAGGGGGGGGTTAAGGGGCAGGCAAAGGAGGACGAAAGGGACAGACAGAGGATAGCCACAGACTCACAGCCCGCCTCCACCCCCGGGGAGGGTTAGTGCCACCCCCAAGGCCGCCAGCAGGGGGCACTCACGGGCTTCGTGGCTGCTGTAAGGGATTCCATCTCCTCGTGGGTCATCCATACGTTTCCTGTGGGCTGAGGCGTGGGAGATGTTAATGATGAAACAGACTATCAAGAGAGGAAGGGACCCCGAGTGGAGGGAGGCTCCAGGGATCCCAGCCATTCATTTATGAGCTGCTTTCTTGCCCACACCCTTCAGGTGACAGTGGGAAGGAGTGATCCTTTCTCGAGAGACAGAAGTCTAATCATTGCCTCTGGACGCTCACCGTGCGGGAGGAGGCAGGCGCCGAGGGGGAAGTGAGGGAGACCATCTCCTGGATGGCGAGGCGCAGCTTGAGCCGGTGCAGGGGGTTGCTGATGCCAATCTCACGCTGGATCTCCGTGTCTGACAAGTTGGCCATGATAGCACCGCTCTTGACATTGGCACGGCAGGCAGCCACATACCATGCGGGCATGCCTACCCAGAGCTGAGGGCAGAGGGAATGGTGGGGGGGGGGGGGAGAGGACAGGATGCAGAGCAGACAGAACATGAAGGAGAGATGGAAGACACAAAGGAAGGGGGAGGGGGAGACAGATGACAAACAGGGGCGAGGCAGACATGGGGTGGAGAGGTACGAGGAGCAAAGGGAGAGAGAGCAAAGGAGGACAGAGATCCAGAGACACACCCCGATACCGGGAAAAACAGAAAGAGAAAATAGAGAGAGCCCCACACACAGGCATGAAGAGACACAAAGAGAAAAAGGTCAGACCGGAAGTGGGGTGGGCAAGATGGGGGGGGGGGGAGAATCAGTTCCCATTGACAGGAGTCTGCCTCCTCTCCCATCAGAACCTCCCTACCCCTCCCCACCCCAACTGGGCTTGAAGCATGTTCCAGGCAGACCCAGCCAGCCTTTGGTGGGACTGTCACAGGACTGGGGTTCAATAAACATGTCATTTCTGAGCCCCAGTACCTCCAGCCAGGAGACCACAGTCGGTCCGTCCCAGGCAGCAAATGGCAGTCCCTGGCGACAAGCTTCTTCCAGAAGTTCATGCCTGGCAGGGAAGGGCGGAGGAGGGCATGACAGGGCCAGAGACCTCAAGCATTTCCATGGGTTGTTTTTTTTTTAATTTTATTTTTTTGGTTGTGGGTGCTGCCCCTGCGATCTTTTACTCAAGGTGAGTGCTCTACCGCTTTGAGCCACAGCGCCACTTCCAGTTTTCTGGTGGTTATTGGAGATAAGAGTTTCACAGACTTTCCTGCCCGGGCTGGCTTTGAACCGTGATCCTCAGATCTCAGCCTCCTCAGTAGCTAGGATGACAGGCGTGAGCCACTGGCACCCGGCTCCCTGAGCTTTTTTTGCTCAAGGTTAGCACTCTACCACTTGAGCTGTAGCACCACTTCCAGCTTTTTCTGTTTATGTGGTACTATGGAATTGAACCTAGGGCTTCATGCATGCTAGGCAAGCACTGCACCACTAAGCCACATTCCCAGCTCTCATTGTTGTTTTTGAGCCAGTACTACAGCTTAAAGTCAGGGCCTCAAAACCTTTTGCTCAAGGCTGGAGCTTTACTACTTAAGCTACACCTCCACTTTTTTGGCTGGTTAATTGGAGATAAGAGTCTCACAGATTTGGGGCTGGGAAGGTGGCCCAGTGGTAGAGCGCTTGCCTTGCATGCCTGAGGCCCTGGGTTCCATTCCTCAGCACCACATAAGCAAAAAGAAAAAAGCCGGAAGTGGCACTGTGGCTCAAGTGGTAAAGCGCTAGCCTTGAGCTGAAGAGCTGAGGGACATCGCCTAGGCCCCGAGTTCAGGCCCCATGACTGGACCCAAAAAAAAAAAAAAAAGAAAAGAAAACCGGGTGCTGGTGGCTTATGCCTATAATCCTAGCTACTCAGGAGGCTGAGATAATGAGGATTGCAGTTCAAAGTCAGCCCTGACTCTTATCTCCAATTAACCACCAGAAAACAGGAAGTGGCACTGTGGCTCAAAGTGGTGGAGCACTAGCCTTGAGAGCTCAAGGACAGTGCCCAGGCTCAGAGTTCAAGTCCCATGACTAACAAAAAAAAAGAAAGAAAAAGAAAAGAAACTGGGATTACAGGTGTGCGCCAACATGCCTGTCTCAACCATGTCCCCAACACCAGTAAGAAAAAGATAAAAACAGCCAAGTTAGCCAGGTGCCAGTGGCTCACACCTGTAATCCTAGCAACTTAGGAGGCTGAGATCTGAGGATCATGGTTCAAAGCCAGCCTGGGCAGAAAAGTCTGTGAGACTCTTATCTCTAATAAACCTAGAAAACCAGAAGTGGTGCTGTCGCTCAAGGGGTAGAGCACTCGCCTTGAGCTGAAGAGCGCAGGGACAGTGCCCAGGCCCAGAGTTCAAACCCCACGACCAACCAAAAAACAACAACAACAACAACAGCCAAGTGCCGGTGGCTCACTCCTGTAATCTTAGCTACTCAGGAGGCTGAGATCTCAGGATCGCAGTTCAAAGCCAGTCGGGCAGGAAAGTCTGTGAGACTCTTATCTTCAATTAATCACCAGAAAACCAGAAGTGGTGCTGTGACTCTAGCAGTAGAGTGCTTGTCTTGAACTGAAGAGCTCAGGAACAGGGCCAAGGACCAGAGTTCAAGCCCCATGACACCCCACCCCCTCGCCGCCCCCCCCCCCCCCCACACACACACAATTTCTAGATGTTCCCAGATTCCCATCAAGGAAGTAAGGAAGTTAAGCATCCTAGGTACTGCCTACCACCATTTTAGTCTTGTCTGTCTCCATCACCACCACCCCTCTTCAAATAAGCTCATATGCATGCATGTGCGTCTGCACAAACACACATACACACACAGGGCCACAAACTCACTTCCTCTTGTTCCTTCGATCCTTGTCTCCTGGGCCTGTCAGCTTGGCTAGCCCCAGAGGGTCAGTGGCCAGTGTTTCATCAGAGGGGGTTCCAGCTAGAGAGAGGGGAGGATCAAAGTTTGAAAAGTCTCAAAGGGAAAGAAAGAACCCCAGGGGAGAAGCATAGTAAAGATAGTAAAGATAGAAGGATATGGGCTGGGAAGGTGGCTCAGTGGTAGTCTTGCATGTCTGAGGTCCTGGGTTCAATTTCTCAGCACCACATAAGCAAAAAGAAAAAAGCCAGAAGTGGTGCTGTGGCTCAAGTGGTAGAGCGCTAGCCTTGAGCTGAAGAGCTGAGGGATAGCACCCAGGCCCAGAGTTCAGGCCCCATGACCGGACCAAAAAAAAAAAAAAAAAAGATAGAAGGATATAGTAAGAAGGATGCCAGGGCTGGGCACCCATGGCTCACACCTGTCACCTAGCCACACAAGAAGCTGAGATCTGAGGACCATGGTTCAAGCCAGCCCAGGCAAAAAAGTCTCTGAGACTCTTAACTCCAATTAACCACTAAAAGCTAGAAGTAGAGCTGTGGTTCAAGTGCTAGAACACTAACTTTTGCTCAGGGACAGCACCTAGGCCCTAAGTTCAAGCCCCAGGGCCAGAAAAAATAAATAATACAAAGAAGCACGCCAGGAAAGTCTGGGCCCTAAGGGGCCTTGTAAATTGGGTACTGAAGAATGGAACTCAGGGCTTCATGCATGCTAGGCAAGCACTCTACCACTAAACCCCATTCCCAGCCCCGCTCAGTTTCAAAACCACATAAATGAAGTAAATTTTATTGGCCCATTCCATAGCCAGGCACACCCCACAGAGTCATTTCTTTTTCCCTGCTCCTACTCGTTTGCGTTCAACATGAATGACCACGTGCGTAAACACCAGAGCAAATGTCTGGTGAATATGGAAAGATGGAGGGAGGAAGGGAGGGACTAAGGGGAGAAAGGTTAGCATGAACGATAGTACTTACCCAGAGAAGAGCTGTCCCGGCCTGGGGGTCCCATTCGCCCTTTCTCTTTCTTGCCAAACAGCCGGCCTATGGATGACTTGATGCTCTTTTTCTTGGGGGCTTTGTGAAGGGAATCTGGGGTACCCTCACTGGACAAACAGGAGAGAGTCAGGGCACACTCTTTTGTTGTTGTTGTTGTCGGGTCCGGTCGTGGGGCCTGAACTCTGGGCCTGGGCACTGTCCCTCAGCTCTTCAGCTCAAGGCTAGCGTTCTACCACTTGAGCCACAGTGCCACTTCCAGCTTTTTAATTTTTGCTTATGTGGTGCTGAGGAATCAAACCCAGGGCCTCAGGCATGCAAAGCAAGCGCTCTACCACTGAGCTACCTTCCCAGCCCCAGGGCACACTCTTTCCACCATTTTTTTCTTTTCTTTTCTTTTTTGTTGGTCATGGGGCTTGAACAGGCCCTGAGGCCTGAGCACTGTTTCTGAGTACATTTTGCTCAAGGCGAGCACTCTACCACTTTGAGTCACAGCATCACGTCCAGTTTTCTGTTGATAAGAGTCTGGAAATAAGAGTCTCACAGACTTTCATGCCCAGGCTGCCTTTGAACAGCGATCTTCAGATCTTAGCCTCCTGAGTAGCTAAGATGACAAGCCTGAGCCACAGCACTGGGCCTTCGACCATTCTCCTTCCAAAGTTCTCTCCTCCCAGCTGAGCCTTCCAGGCAAGCTCCTCCCCACTCTCACTGCCTGTCCCCTGGCTCACCTTCCCCGGGAAGGTCCCCCATCTTCCAGGGACCCCGCCTGCAGTGCTAAGGCTTGGGTCATTCTTTCAAGACGGGCTGAGCGGGGAGTGGGGGGTGGCGTGTCTCCTGGGATAGCTGGTCCCTCCCCTCGTGGAGCCCCAGCTTCCTCTTTGGGGATATGATTCTGAGGACAGAGAAACACAGGGGTTTGATTAATTTGGAGGGTCATCTTGGGAGCTGCCCATGAATGGGGATGTCTATGGGGGAGTCTGGGATGACACAGGGTTGGGGGGCAGAAAGACAATGCCTACAGCTCTTTGGAGCCCAGCCAAGCTCATATTTATACACCTTGGCTTCTGGTGTCATGAGTGGGAACTGCTTGGCCTCAATGCTAAGGAGTAACCAGTCCTACAAAGAGGAAAGCAGGCATTAAGGTCATAAAGAGATATATATCTTTTTTTTTTTTTTTTTTTGGTCAGTTGTGGGACTTGAACTCTGGGCCTAGGCACTGTCCCTGAGCTCTTCAGCTCAAGACTAGACCTCTACCACTTGAGCCACTTCCGGTTTTCTGGTGGTTTGTTGGAGATAAGAGTCTCATGTACTTTCCAGCCTGGGCTGGCTTTGAACCACAATTCTCAGATCTCAGTCTCTTCAGTAGCTAGGATGACAGGTGTGAGCCACCAGGCAATGTGAGCCACCAGTGCTTGGATGATATATATATTTGTCCCTAGAATACTCACGGCCTTGTCGGTGCCCTCACGGGCAGGGCTTGGTGGTGCCAGGCGAGGTGTTGAATGGCCTGAGCTGGGAGGAGACGGGCTGGCAAGGGTGGAGGTGGTGAGGGACGGGGGCAGAGAGCAACTGCTTCGGTATCGACTCAGGGAATCAAGGCCAGAGCTGGACACTCGGCTTTCCAGCTCTTCAGCCCTCTGTTCTGTTGTCTCCTTCTCCTCTTGGATTAGCCTGGGGCAGGAAGCAACAGTCAGAGACACACAGACAGACAGAAATAGAAAGACAGGGTGCTGAGGGAAGGGAATCTGTGATGAGAAAGTTCAGTGGGGCAAGAAGAATGAAGTTAGAAACTTTGGGCGAGTTCAGCATGGCTTCTTAGATTCAAGGGGAGACAAGGCGTGATTGACAGGCTCAGGAGAACATGGAAGGACTAGGGCTGTCAGGGAGATCAGGAGCCATGATCAATTTAGCTCAGAAGAGAACCAAGCTGTCAGACAAATTCACAACAAAGAAAGAGCCAAGCAACAGTGGCTCACGCCTGTAATCCTAGCTACACAGAAGGCTGAGATCTGACTATGGATATTTAAAGTCAACCCAGGTAGGAAAAGTCCAAGAGCCTTTATCTGCAATGGATCACCAAAACAAGCTGGAGGTAAAGGTGAGGCTCAAGTGGTAGAGCTTTAGTCTTGAGTGAAAAACCTAAAGGACAGCACCCAGGCCCCCGAGTTTAGGCCCCAATACTGATACACACACAAAACTAAAAATCATATAAAAGGTTCCTATGGGGAAGAAATAATGCTCCAAGCAAGATCACAAGGGCAAAGTCATCACACAATACCATCGAAGCCTGTGGAGTCATTCTCTCACTATGTGACAATGGATAACTCCAGTCTGAGTTTGAATGGAAGGCAGCAGCTATGTTGTTCTTATGTGCTGGATGCCCATGAAGAATGTTTTCTTAGAAAACTTCCAAGTAAGCTGGGCACCAGTGACTCACGCCTGTAATCTTAGCTACTCAGGAGGCTGAGATCTGAGGATCGTTGTTTGAAACCAGCCTGGTACAGGAAAGTCTGTGAGACTCTTATCTCCAATTAATCACAGAAAAAGCCAGATGTAGGGCTGGGAAAGTCGCTCAGTGGCAGAGCGCTTGCTTTGCATGCCTGAGGCCCTGGGTTCAATTCCACAGCACCACATAAGCAAAAAGAAAAAAGCTGGAAGTGGCACTGTGGCTCAAGTGGTAGAGCGCTAGCCTTGAGCTGAAGAGCTGAGGGACAGTGCCCAGGCCCAGAGTTCAGGCCCCACGACTGGACCCAAAAAAAAAAAAAGAAAAGAAAAAACCAGATGTGGCACTGTGGCTCAAGTGGTAGAACGCTATTCTAGAGCAAAAGGAGCTCAGAGACAGTACCAAGGCCCAGAGTTCAAGCCCCAGGATCAGAACTAAGGCAAATTTCTGGGCCATCAGGGTGGATAGAGATGGGGGTTTCTAAATAAGTCACACACTTTTGTTGTACTAGGTAGAAATTCTGGAGGTCTAAACTTGAGATTTCATGGCTCTTGTTCAAGGGTGGATGAATTCTTCGTGTTTTGAGTTGGGGATCTTGGATTATGTGGAGAATCCTAAGGAATTGGAAGATTCTTGAGTACCAGTTACATGAAGTCATTGAATCTGTGCTGTTCTGGAAGATTCTTGATGTACTGAATTGAAAATTTGAAACCCAGTCCTTGGCACCCCTGGAAATGCTGAGTCCTGGCTGAGGGACTTATACACGACAGTACATGAGGATTTCTGGAGGGATCTGCCGGGACACAGTATCCTCATTCACTGGGGGGAGGATTGGATTGGGGTTCCATTATGATGATGGGAGTGGAGATCGGCACAGAGAGAAGCGGAACCAGGGCTGCAAATGTGGCGTAATGGTAGAGTGCTTGCCTAGCATGCAAGAAGCCCTGGGTTCAATTCCTCAGTACCATATAAACAGAAAAGATAGGAAGTGAGGATGTGGTTTAAGTGGTAGAGTGCTAGCCTTGAGCACAGAGAGGCTCAGGGACAGTGTCCAGGTCCTGAGTTCAAGCCCCAGGACTGGAAAAAAAAGAAAAGAAAAAGAAAGAAAGAAGTGAAGCCAGAGGGGTTGTGAAGTCAGCTCAAGTCAAGGTCAGCTCCAAGCCAAGTAGACCTAGGCCTGGCCTTACTTGATCTCCTTGTTGATGGCCTCCAGCTGCTCCTGAAGCATGATGGCCAGGGTCTGCACGTCAGCCTGCCCACTGGGGGACAGCAGCTCGGCCCCGAACATCCCCTCTGCCTCCTCCTCATCGGAGCCATCCAGCTCCCCGGGGAATGGGGGCGGCATGGATCCTGCAGGGGTAGACCGCTCCCAATCCTGTCTCTGTATGGGGACAGAGGGACACTGAGCAGGTGGTGGTTCCGGGTCTTTGCTTTCCTCTCTGATCCTGCCTACAAGTGGCACCACTTTGCCCAGCCCAGCTACTTAATGGACAGGTTCCTTTCTTAACTCCTCCCCCAACTCACCCCAGGCCCTGCCCACACTTTTGATTGGCTCCTCTCGGATTCCTATTTCCTAGACCCAGCCTACTTCATGTCTTGACCTGGCCCCACCCACGCTGGGATAGGGCACTGTACCCCCCACCCATTAGTACTCTCAGGTGCTCACCAGGTAACAGGACACCCAGGCAGGCCAGGGATGATGGAGTTGTGGGAAGGTGGGGGAGGGAGGGAAAGAAGAGAAGATGGATGAGTCCAGGAAACCCTGCCTCTCAACCCAGCCTCCCACCTAAGCCCCAGAGGTTGGCCTCCACTCCCCTCAGCGGCCCCCCTAAGCCCCCTTAGTCCAGGCCCCAGAGGTGGCAGCTGACCTTGGAGGGTTCATCCTTTACTCCTGACCAGCGGCTTCTCTTGCTTGCCCGGCCACTGCTGGCCCCATAAGGGTCAAGGGGGGCACCAGAAGGTAACGTGGGGGCCTGGGAGTAACGGAGTTCCAGGGCACTGCCAGGAAGAGACCTGTGGGCATGGGAGAGACAGAGGTCATAGAGTTGAGGTAAAAAATTAGAGGGAAGCCAGGAGCTGGTGGCTCATGTTTCTCATCCTAGCTATTCAGGAGGCTGAGATCTGAGGATCGTGGTTCAAAGCCAGCCCAGGCAAGAAAGTCCTTGAGACTCTTATCTCCACTGAACCATCAGAAAACCGGAAGCGGTGCTGTGGCTCAAGTGGTAGAGAGCTTGAGCAGAAAAAGCTTAAGGACAGCGTCCAGGCCCCAAGTTCAAGTCCCATCACTGACCAAAAAGAGAGAGAGAGAGAGAGAGAGAGAGGGATGTGGGCTGGGCATGTGGCATGGCTTAGTGGTAGAGTGCGTACACCACAACAACATCTCCCTGAGCAGAGGAGGGGCAGGTGGCCTATGATTACCTAGAGTAAGAGGATGGCGGCCTTCCCCGAAGCTGGTCAATTTCCATCTGCATCCTCTCCATTTCAGCCAAGAGTTGCTCCTGGAGAGAGGAGGTTGGAGAAATCAAGTCAGAAAGCCTTGTTTTCCAGAATCATGGCTCCTTTCCCCTTCCTTCCTCTCCCTCCTCCCTGCCTCCCCCCCACCCCCACCCTGGCCACCTCCACCCCAGACCTTGTTAAGCAACAGCTCATCTTGTAACTTCTTCATGTTGGCGATCTCCTCACTCAATGAGTTCTGTGGGCACAGGGGTGAAGTGAGGGAGTGGGAAGGAAGGAGACATGCCCTAGGGGCTGCCAACAGCCCCAGGAAGATTCCAGTGGGGACAAATGGGGAGCTGCAAGGGAGGGAGGGTCATGGGGCCAAAGACACCTCTAGGGTGAGAAGCCCTGGAAGCCCTGGGCTTCGATGTTCTGTGTGATCTCAGAGGACTTGGGGTTTGAGTGTTTGGGGCACTTGAGAAAGAGCTAAAGGAGCTGGGACGGTGGCTCAGTGGTAGAGAGCTTGCCTCACATGCATATGGCCCTAGGTTCGATTCCTCAGCACCACATAAACAGAAAAAAGCCAGAAGTGGTGCTGTGGCTCAAGTGGTAGAGTGCTTGCCTTGAGCTAAAGAGCTGGTGGACAGAGCCCAGGCCCAGAGTTCAAGCCCCACGACCAAAAAAAAAAGAGCTAAGGCCAGCACCAGTAGCTCACTTCAGTAATCCTAGCTATCAGGAGACTGAGATCTGAGGATGGTGGTTCAAAGCCAGCCAAGGCAGGAAAGTCTGTGAGGCTCTTATCTCCAATGAATCACCAGAAAACCAGAAATGGACCTGTGGCTCAAGTGGTAGAGCGCTCTTCTTGAGCTGAAGAGTTGAGGGACAGCGCCTAGGCCCAGAGTTCAAACCTCACGACAGACAATAAGATAAAATAATAATAAAAAATTTTAAAAAACCCAAAGAGCTAAGGACTTGGGGTATTGTTACTGCCTAGAATTCATCTACTGATGGCTTAGATTCAGGGCCAGGTTCGGGGAGATCTCGGATCGTGGCTCTGGGCGCCGTGTCTGGGGCCGCAGGATTGCGGCAGGAGGCAGGCCTGGACACAGCGGTGATGGGCGGCCTGGGCCGGCGCACCTTCTCCTCCAGAGCCCCCATGCGCTCTTTGAGGTGCAGCTGTAGGCGCTCGTTAGACTCGCTCAGCAGCTTGTCCACCGTTTCCGACAGCCGCTTGTTGTGGTCATCGTTCATCTTCTCCCGCTGCCGTGCCTATCCAAAGGAGAGCCAGGCGGGGACTCTCAAGGTCCCCCCCCCCTTCCCCCCCCCCCCCGGACTAGGCCGGCCCTCGCTGGGAGCCACGCCTCCACCCACGCCCTCCCTCCCCTCCTACCACCGAAGCCCATCCCCGCCTCAGAGCCCCATCTTCTCCGCTGTCCTCAGCCCCCTCACCCGCTGCAGCTCCTGGTTCTTCTCCTCCAACTGGGCCTCCAGCTGCCGAAGCCGCTCTTCAAAATTTCCGTGCCGCTCCTCAGCCTGGAGAACCAGAATCCACTCAGCACCATTCAGCACGGTGGCCCCGCCCCTTCCAGACTGGACGCGAGGCCCCGCCCCTTCCAGACTGGACGCGAGGCCCCACCCACTCTCAGACTGGACGCGAGACCCCGCCCCTTCCAGACTGGACTTGAGATCCCGCTCCCTGGGCTCCAGCTCCACTCGGGACCCGCCCCCCTGTCTCCTCTGGGTGCCGTCACTGTTCCATCACCCTCAGATTACAGGCCACCCACACTAGAAAACAACGTAACCTCACTCCCAATAGCCCAAATCTTGCTCCATTCCAAGATGGAGCCCCAAGGCCAACTTGTTCCCCAGAATCCAGGCTTTCCTGTCACTCTAGGGCCCACTCCATTTAAGCCCCGCCCCGTTGGGCCCCGCCCTCCAGGCCCCGCCCCCCAGCCCCCACCCCTCCCTCCATCCTAACTTTGTTCAGCGCTGCCACCCGCTGGGCCAGCTGCGCCTCGATCTCGGGCAAGGTCTCGGCCTTCTGCAGTGTCTGCTGCAGCTTCTGCTTGGCATCATCCAGCCACTCAGCCAGTTGACGGCTCTTCTCTTCACTCTGGGGGAAGGAGAGACCAGGAGAGCAAAACAGGGCTAGGTCACATGGACCCCAGCCTCACCCCGACACCCCTGGCCCAGTAGGCCCCCACCTGCCGATACAATGACTCCTTGCTGGCCAATTCATTCTCCAGCTTGTCATTGGCATCGTGCAGAGACGTAGCTTCGCGCTGGGCGCTCAGGTAGCGCTTCTCCAGCGTGGTGATCCGCTCCTCCATATCCTCTCTCTGAGCCAGCGCCTGTGGAGGGGGCAAGAGACCTTGGAGTCCACAACTCCCAGAAGGCCATGGGGGTGCTCTAGGATTAGAACAGCAAACCAGAACCCTGTGGTGTCCTGGGAAATGAATCCAGGACTCAATGTCAGGTGCTCTAGGCTCAGGCCTGCAATCCTAGCTACTCAGGAGACTGAGATCTGAGGATTGTGGTTTCAAAGCCGGCCCAGGTGGAAAATTCTGGAAGACTCCAATTAACCTGAAGTGCAGGAGTGGCTCAAGGCGTAGAGTGCCAGCTTTGAGGGAAAAAGGTAAGCAAAAATTTTTAGGCCACATGCTGGTAGGGAGGCTGAGCTCTGAGAATTGAAGTCCAAAGCCAGCCAGGGCAGGAAATTCCATGAGACTTTTTTTTGGTCCAGTTGTGGGGCCTGAACTCTGGGCCTGGGCGCTGTCCCTCAGCTCTTCAGCTCAAGACTAGCGCTCTACCACTTGAGCCACAGCACCACTTCCAGCTTTTTTCTTTTTGCTTATGTGGTGCTGAGGAATTGAACCCAGGGCCTCAGGCATGCAAGGCAAGCACTCTACCACTGAGCCACCTTCCCAGCCCCATGAGATTCTTATCTCAACTACCTGAAAACCTATGAAGCTGTGGCTCAACGTGGTAGAGCACTCACCTTGAGCAAAAAAGCTCAGGGAGAGCACCCAGGCCCTGAGTTCAACCCCCATCTCACACACACACACATACACACACACACACACACACACACACGTTTACAGCCCTGAGGACTGGCAAAAAAAATCCAGGACCCACATTTCTTAGTAGATACCTTAGTTATAAGAATTACAGGGCTTAGCCGGGCGCTGGTGGATCACACCTGTAATCCTAGCTACTCAGGAGGCTGAGATCTGAGGATGGTGGTTCAAAGCCAGCCCGGGCAGGAAAGACTGTGAGACTCCTATTCTCCAATAAACCACCAGCAAACCGGAAGAGGCACTGTAGCTCAAGTGGTAGAGCGCTCATCTTGAGCTGAAGAGCTGAGGGACAGCGCCCAGGCCCAGAGTTCAAGCTCCACAACCAACCAAAAAATAAAATAAAATAATAAAATAAAAATAAATAAATAAATAAAATAAGAATTACAGGGCTTATTTCAGAAGTATGAAATACTGATACAAGGAAAATGGCTATATCTAATAACCAGAACCAGTTACTTAGCCCATGCTTTCAGATGGAGGACTCATATTAGAGTTCTAAATCCCAAGGCTCAGAAAGAAAGAGTCGACACTCTTGAAGCACTGAATCCAGGTTCCACCATGAGCTGAGTGACTTGGGACAAAAAGGAAGGGGGGAAGCTGGGTGCTGGTGGCTCACACCTGTAATCCTAGCTACTCAGGAGGCTGAGATCTGAGGATGGAGGTTCAAAGCCAGCCTGGGCAGGAACCTCCGTGAGACCCTTATCTCCAATGAACCATCAGAAAACCACAAATGGTGCTATGGCTCAAGGGGTAGAGCACTGGTCTTGAGCTGAAAAGCTGAGGGACAGCACCCAGGCCCAAAGTTCAAGCCCCATGACCAATCAAAAAAAAAAAAAAAAAAAGAGGTGGGGGGAGCTGGGTGCTGGTGGCTCACGCCTGTAATCCTAGCTACTCAAGAGGCTGAGATCTGAGGATCGTGGTTCAAAAGCCAGCCTGGGCAAGAAAAGTCCATGAGACTCTTATCTCCCATGAACCACCAGAAAACCGCAAGTGGTGCTGTGGCTCAAGTGGTAGAGCGCTCACCTTGAGCTGAAGAGCCGAAGGATAGTGACCAGGCCCAGAGTTCAAGCCCCACAACCAACCGGAAAAAAAAAAAAGGAAGGGGGCAAGGCCAGGGCAGGGGAATGACACAGGGCAGCCCCCCAGCACTCCCACCTCACCTCCTTGAGGTCCCGCTGCAGCTTGGACTTGGCTTCCTCCGCCTTACCCAGCTCGCGGTGAGCGGTGCCCAGCTCCTCCTCCAGCTGGCTCATCTGACGGCACAACACCGCCAGGCGCTCCCGCAGCTGGCACACCTCGGCACGCTGTCGCTCTAGGGCCTCCTCCAATTCTGCTGTGCGCCGGCTGGAATCCCCACCAGGACCCAGGCCATTGGCAAGGGTCTGGGGTAAGAGAGGAAGAGACAGAACCCAGAGAGGAGGTCACAGAGACAGAGAGAGAGGATGCAAGAAGAAAGTCCATCAGCATTTCCCTGATCAGTCTGCATGGGTGGCCAGGGGTCCCAGGAGTTAACTATGTAACCTGCAGTAAGCCAGTAAGGATCTTAAGGATTTGATAGTCCTAGGGTCAGTAAGGAGCAAAACAAATATTAAAATACCCATCAAAAGTTGGGGAGTTTCCAGGCACCAGTGGCTCACTCAATGCCTGTAATCCTAGCTACTCAGGAGGCTGAGATGTGAGGATCATGAAAGCCAACCAGGGCAGAAAAGACCGGTGAGACTCTAATCTTTAACCAACAAAAAGCTGAAAGTGGAGCTCTGGCTCAAGTAGTAGAGCTCCAGGCTTGAGCAATAAAGCTAAGGGACAGGGGGCTCAGGCCCTGAGTTCAAGCCCAGTACCTGGTGGGAGGGGGGGAATCAAGTTAGGAAGCTGACTGGATGCCACAGGGAAGGGACTTGCACCTCTTACCTGTCCATCCCCATCTTTGCCAGGCTCTTCCAGCCCTGACCGCCGTCTAGACAACTGGTCTCGAAGATTCAGAGTCTATAAACAAAAGAAGACCAGAGCAAAGGACATCCTAGTATCCCACCTCTACTTCCCCCCTGAAAGGCAGTTTTCCTCTTTCATCTTGTCTTTCCCATCCAATTGTTTTCTTAAGAGGAGGCCTGAGCCCCAGCCTTAAATTCTCACTCCTCCTGGGAGGGTCTGGCTTCTTCCCAGGATCCAGCCCCATTGGTGTTCAGCCTATGGAACTCTCCATCAGTTCCTTGGTTCCCGCCCCTTCTTGTCCCCGCCCCCACCTCCTGATTGCTCAGTTCCAGCTCCTCCTCTAGCACGGCCACTCGCTCCAAAGCCATCCGCAATCTTTCTCGGACCTGGGGATGAGGAAGAGGATGATAGAGGTAGGATAAGAATGAGATGCGGACCAGACCCACATCCCTGGAACAACCCCAGAGGCAGGTGTAATAGGATAATATGAAAATTCCTCTCTGTAATGGGCACGAGGCTCCACCCACAGACCAAGCAGCCTCTCCCACTGGTACCCCCAACCCTTGTTCATTTTTCTGTTGTCAGTCTGAGGGGTCCCAGCCTGGTAACCTGTACCAATCAATCACTAAAGATCCTTCCACTTAGGATAGCCCCAACCAATCACAGCCAGGATCTTCATCCAGGCTATCCATACCTTTTCATCTAGGGCCTTGTGATGCTCGAAGAGGGATTTTAGAGCCTTAAGCACCTCCACCTCGGAGGAGACCCCTCCTGGTGACTGGGCCTGGCGCTTCACCACAGTCATGCGCAGTGACCTCTCGTGCCTGGACACCAGGCACTCCAAGTGTTCCAGGAGAAGCTAGAGGGATAAAACACGAGTCAAGGAAAAGAGGCCAGAGGCTAGGAAGACAGCGACAGAGACCAACCAAAGGAACACTGGGAGAAACAAGTCAAGAAAGAGAGAGTGCAGGGATAGAGCCCAAGAGCATATGATTAAAAAAGAGAAAGAAAGAAAGAAAAACAAGTGAGTCCAGCCAGGAAATGGGAGCAGAGAAAGACACGAAAAAGAAATATAGAATGAAAATGAGTTGGACAGCAACACCCCACGGCCCTCTCTGTCCCCAGGGCCCTGTCCCCAAACCCCTCACCCGCGTGTTGTTGCGCTCGGCCTTCAGCTCTGCAATCTCTTCCTCTCTCTCCAGCAGCTGCTCCCGACATAAGTTCAGCTCCTTAGTCAGAGCCGCAAACTCCTGTCCAGAAGTGGGCACGACAGGGACGACCAATCAGTCCTTTTTCTAAGTCCCTCATTCCAAGGCAGTTTGAAGGCCCCGCCCAACCTAGCTAAGTCCCGCCTTTCTTGCCGCCTAGTTCCGCCCATGAACGATTAGCCAATCAGAGACCTCACCTCTTGAGGCTCCACGCCCCGCCTGCCAAGGACTATTTTCCCAGGCCCCGCCCTTCCAAGTGCCAAGCCCCGCCCACGGGCCGCCCTCGGGCTGCCCTCGCTCCTCAGGTCCCGCCTCCCGGCGGCCCCGCCCCGGCCCCGCCCAGACCTGGGGCAGGGCGATGCTGAGCTGTCGCTGCAGCGAGTCCTTCTCGTGGCCGAGCTCGCGCAGCCGCAGCTGCGCCGTGGCCAGGCCGTCCTGCGCCTCGCGCAGCGTCTCCAGCAGGCGCTCCCGCTCCGTGAGCATCGTGACCATGAGGCGCTCCAGCTCGCCGCCCGCCTCGTCCGGGCCCAGCGCCGAGCCCCGCCGGCCATCCTCGCTGATGGTGGGCATCACCTCGCACATCATGGCGGCGGTGCTGGCCTGCGGAGGCAGAGAACTGAGGCACGGACATTAGGTTGCCACACGGGGGAAACTGAGGTGCGGTGGTAACTGAGGTGCGGCGGTGCAGACAGAAGAAACTGAGGCTTTGAGGCTCCAATCACAACACAGGGAAACTGAGGCACCCTCATAGGGTGGCTCTACCAGGAAATCTGAGACGTAAGCTACCTGGGAAAACTGAGGTTCATCCATTATAATCATAAAGCAAGGTACACAGAAATACATTGCTTCCAGGAAAACAGCCTGGGCTACCTGGGTAAGAGCATTTGGAGAGGGCTGGGAAGGTGGCTCAGTGGTAGAGTGCTCGCCTTGCATGCATGAAGCCCTGGGTTTGATTCCTCAGCACCACATAAGCAGAAAAAGCCAGAAGTGGGTGTTGTGGCTCAAGTGGTAGAGTGCTAGCCTTGAGCTGAAGAGCTGAGGGACAGAGTCCAGGCCCAGAGTTCAGGCCCCACGACCAACCAAAAAAAAAAAAAAAAAAGAGCATTTGGAGAAACCGAGGTCTGACGCCACAGACAACAAACCCAGGCCTGGCCACACCATGGAACTAAACCCTGGGTGTTGGGGGATGGGGGAGAGGGGCAGTTCCCAAGCCACTCATTGTGACTTCGTGAAGAGTCCTCAGCCCACTTGCACGTGTAGGAAAACTGAGGCCCAGCCAGAAAGCCACAAGTCTTCCATTGCAGAATTAGGTCAGTAGAACGTGATTGTCTGTGTCATATCTTTAAGACAGGCCTCACCTACTATTCCTCTCAACTACTGTTTCTCAATTTCCCAGATACAGGACCCACACACATACACACAACTCCAGAAGCACTTTAAAGACCCACACTTCACTTGAAAAGCCTCAAAATTAAAAGCAAGACAGAAACCCAGCTGTGCTAGTCATCAGCTTGTTCACAAGTTCACTGTCCAAAATCTGCTTCAGGTTCCCAGAAGCTAGGCCCCTCAGTTGCCACCACCTCTAGACTTAAAAGTCTCAGCCTTCAGCTCTCCCCTCCCAATCCTAGAGTCAGAGCCAGCACACAGTCCTTATCTCCCAGTAGTTTTTAGCCTTCTCCCAAGAACCCCCAACTTCCAGCCTTGAAAGCCCCCCACCCGAATGCACAGCCCTGTATCAAGGATCCAGGGAGTTCTAGGAACACCCCCTACAACACCATTCTTCCCTCCCCCCCCACCCCGCCCCCCTCCAAACTCCAGCCCTGGAAGAGCACCAAGGGTGTGGGAGGTGAGGGGCGGGGCCTCTAGGGAGGCGGACTTGATCCCTGATGCCAGGGGCGGGGCCAACATTAAGTGAGGCTCCGGAGCCATACCCTCTTCATTTCAGGTCTGACAGGTCCAGCTGGCCCAGTCGAAAGCAGGAGGGACTTTCACTGTGTTCCTTCCTTTCCTTCCCCCCAGACAGGCAGCGGTATAACCGGTTCTAAGAGTGAATAATTCCCAGCCCTGCCTAATATTCATACTGTACCCAAAGCCTGGGACGCCTGTGGAGAGAGCAGGGGATTGAGAATCTCTGGGATCTGGGAGGGGAGGCGGCTGGTGGCCTGAACCCTTGGGTCTTTGAAGTGGTGCATCTTAGAATCTAGCACCCTAAATCCCAGCTCTGAGACTAGATTCAGGAAAAGCATTTATTAGACAACAGGCTAGCCTTAAGCTGAAACCCAACATATTTTCCAGCTGCAACCTGCTCAGAAGATAGGACCCAGAAGGGGTTTTAAGGAGGCTGTTCTGGAACCTGAGATTCACTGAAGAGACAGAACACAGCATAGAAGGACAGAGGATCTAGAAAGCTCAGAGCACAGCGAAACTGCTCAGTTCAAAAAGGACATGTGCGTCCACAGGCCTGAGAGTAAGATCCACATGCTGGAGTAAGTAGAACTGAAGTTTGGAGCTCAAAAGAACCCAATAACTTAAAAGAGTTCCTGGAGCCCGGTGCTGGTGGCTCACGCCTGTAATCCTAGCAACTCAGGAGGCTGAGATATGAGGATCACGTTTAAAGCCAGCCTGAGCAGCAAAGTCCGTGAGACTCCTATTCTCCAATAAGACCACCAGAAAACCAGAAGTGGCTCTGTGGCTCAAGTGGTAGAGTGCTAGCCTTGAGCTGAAGAGATCAGGAACAGCACCCAGGCCCAGAGTTCAAGCCCCACAACCGAAAAAAATAAAGAGTTCCTGGGTTACCTCAGAACCCTAAACATAGAAGGAAGTATAATGATGCATTCTTTTTTTTTTTTTTTGGTCCAGTTGTGGGGCCACAGAGCCACTTCCAGCTTTTTTTTTCTGCTTACATGGTGCTGAGGAATCGAACCCAGGGCCTTATGCATGCAAGGCAAGCGCTCTACCACTGAGCCAACTTCCCAGCCTTAATGATGCATCTTAGGAACATACCAAATGTAATATATAATGAGCTTAATCAAGGGTTACAAGCTACAACCCAGAACTGAGTCTAGCAGAAATGAAGGTATTAATACAGGGGTATTCTACCAGGGATCACAGTCTTATTCTAATCATGTATCTAAATGATACTAGAATTGGAAGATAAAAGGTATGCTCTTGAACTCAGAACATGCCTCAGGGCTGAAGAAAAACAAAGACAGATAATTTGTCTGGAACTTGGAAACATCTGGAGGAAAATACAGAAGATGCATGCTGAGAATTACGAATTAACTGAGATTAAAGATTGAACTAAACTGGCAAGGAAAGGGGGATGTTCTGGAAATGAGAACATCTTGAGACTGAGACTCTAGAAGAGGAGAAAGCCTAGAACACGCTTAGAATGCCAAAGTAGCAGATGGAGGAGAAAGCCCACAATCCTCCAGGCAATGAGTCCTACACTAAGGCCACACAGAGAAAACAGAAAAGATGGAAATGGATGGGCCGAAAACCTAGAACCTGAGGGAGGTAAATGTAATGTAGAACATTTATCATCAATCTTTCAGGCTTTAAGATCTTGAAATGAATTCCAGAGCTGATAGAATTTGAAGACAGCTAGAAGGCCTAGTTGGTACATACAGAATCTGAAAGTTGGAAAGAATGTCCTTGGGAAGAGAAGGGAACTTAAAATAATGCTAAGGATATGGCCAGAACCTAGAACTGTGAAAATTCATCTGAGAGCAAGTAAAGACTGGCTGCTAGAACTCTGTAACATGTCTGAAGAGAGGGCAAGATCAAAGCGTGGCTTCTAAGACATTATTATTCAGCTATGTGAAAAAACAAATGGAGGCCTACATAATGAGTTCCAGGCCAACCTGAGCTACACAGTAAGACCCTGTCTCTAAATGAAAGCAAAAACTAGTGGGGTTCAAGATATAGCTCTATGACTGGGCACCAGTGGCTCACGCCTGTAATCCTAGCTACTCAGGAAGCTGACATCTGAGGATCAAGGTTCAAAGCCAGCCCAGGCAAAAGTCAGTGAAACTCTGATCTCCAATGAACCACCAGAAAACCAAAAGTGGCGCTGTGGCTCAAGTGGTAGAGCACTGGCCTTGAGCTGAAGAGCTGAGGGACAGTGCCCAACCCCAGAGTTCAAGGCCCACAACCAACAAAAAACAACAACAACAAAAAAAGATTAATGGAAAGAAGACATGCCTAGAATTTCCAGAATGTAGCATCTTGCTTAGAACTTAGATCGCATCTTGGTTGAAGATAGAACAGAGATATCAACTGAACATGTTCTAGTACTGCTTGGTAGCAGTAAAAAAAAAAAAAAAAAAAAGGCATCTTACAACTAGAAATATGCAAGAAGGCTCTAGAGCATATAATTCACCTAAACTGCAGGCATACCTGGAGGAAAGGATTCATGTTTGGATCACTGGCCTGAGTGTACCTGACTGAAGTGTGGGACATTATGATACAGGACTTGGGAGGCAATGAGGGGCTTGGAACCCCTCAAGTCTTAGGGGAGTCTCCAGGCCTTAGGGGTGAGAGGAGATTGGGGAAGCTTAAGCACCTGAGATGACATGGGGCTAAGGCAAGGGTTTGTCAAGGCCATGTGATCTGTGAGGTTTAATGGGAGTCAGGAGCCATGGGAAGCTGAGGAGGTAAATACAGGTCAGGATGGGTAGACAGATGCAGAGCTTGGGTCTTTGTAAAGGTTAAAGGGTAAAGGGTTAGGAGCTTGGGAGCCAGAATCCTTTTTAAGATCTGGGGCAGAGGGTCCAGGTAAAGGCGAATGGACAGACAGTGCAGAACCTGAGGTCTGAGTTCCTGGGTTTCTGAAAGGATGCAGGTCTGGGAACAGACACCTAGGTCTCCAAAAGGGATAGGAGCTAAGGAATTGTTTTTAAAAAATGCTGAAAAGAAGGGTTATGGCGCCTGAGTCCCTAAGAGAACAGATGCTGAGGTGCCAGGAGGCTGAGTCTATTTGTCTGAGGGACACAAGGGTTTGTTAAACTGGATGCTATACAGGAAGCAAAGGCTGGAAAACTGGATTCCTGTGTCCTGACCCGAGTGAGGGCTGTGTCCACAGACAGATGAACAGAACCGGTGGAAGCTGGAGGTTGGGGTGCCTGCCTGAGTCCCTACAATGCACGAAGCAGGAACATTCAGAAATCCTGGCTCCTCAGGGAACACCTGGAGTCATGAAAAGCCAGGGTGCTAAGAATCTGCCCCCCCCCCCCCCCCCCCGCCCCGGCACCCGGCTAGCCTGACCATCCGAACCCTGTGGCCCGGGTATCCCCGGGTCAAAGAAGCGGCGGCAGCCGAGGGAGGAGGGGAGATCCCCAGCGCCGCCGGCGCCCCCTCCCTGGCGGCGGCTGCACCAGGTGCCCTGCAGACCATGGACAGCTCCAGAGCGGGCCTGTGTCCAGCACGGTCGACGAACCGGCCTGGACCGAGACACCATCGCCTGTTCCAACCAGAGGCTGGAGCTGGCCACACGGGTGTGCGGACCGGGGGGGACGATGGGGGCTGGCCGGTGGCTGGGGGAACCTCACAGAGCCCTGGCCGGTGACTGGAGCTCCCAGCACTGGGCCCAGGAAGAGGGATCTAGGTTTCCCCGGGGGTCCCCAGGGTCTGAATGAAGGTGTGTGTGTGGGAGACCCAGGCTCCTGGGGCCTGGAGGAGGCGCAAGGAGACAGTGCGCCTGGGATTCGGGGGTTCGGCGGGGGACTCCACTCGGGCCAGGGGCACGCCTGAGCCTCCTGGGCTGGGTTGTGGAATCTGGACCCCAGGGTCCCCGGGAGGACGAGGAAGGGAATTCAGGATCTCCGGGAGGCGGGGGAGGCTGGCGCAGGGGTCCCCGGGGTGGGCGCTGCCAGGCGGACTGGGCCGGGCTCTTACCTACCTGGTCCGCGGCGGCTGCGGGCGGAGCTGGGCTGCAGGAGGGACGTGGGGTGGGGTGGGGGGGACCGGGCGGGGCCCCTGGCGGCGGCCGGGGCCCGGATCTGTGGCTCTGGAGCCCTGTCTCCGCCGCTCGCGCGGGCTCAGCGTCTCTTGCTCCGGCTTGGGCGCTGGGGACCCCCTCCCCCTCACAGTCTTACAGCCTTCTAGCCCCTAAAATAGCCCCCTGCCACTGACACCGTCCAGCCTCCCCCCGCGAGGCCGCAGCCGCCAGATCCAGGGGTGCCCACCAGCGCCCCCCAAATCCCACCTTCCCCCCCAAAAAAATTTCCTCCTCCCTCCCCTCCCCCAGCAGCTCCCAGGCGGTCCTGGCCCCTTTAACAGGAGACTGACAGACGGCACTGGGTGGCCAATGGGAGACGGCCTCGGCGCCGGCCGGCGACCAGACCCCGCCTCCGCACGGGCAGGGAGGGGTCGCGCGGGCGGAGAGCTGGGGGCGGGGCCCTGGGGGCGTCGGCCAATAGGCGCGCGGCGTGCGGCGGCTGGGGCGGGAGGCGGAGCCCGGCAGGGGGATGATGTCACCTGGAGCGAGTGGCGCGCGGAGTGGAACGCGAGTCCGCGACCCCGGATCCCGGCGGTGGGGTGCGACGGCGGCCCTCACGCCGCACGGGGTGCGCGGGCAGGGCAGGCGAAGGGATGGGGAGAAAGGTTGGATTCTAAGGCCAGGGCGGCTCCCGGAAAAGACGTGCTTTAGTTGGAAGGTGGGGTGAGTGCCTGAAGGGTGAGTGCACCTCCTCCTGCACCCCTGCGCCCGCCCGGGGAACTGCACGCGGCTCCCCCCGCCCCGACTCCCACGCAGACGGTAGTGCGACCTACGGGGCTCCCCTCCACCCCCACCCGGGCGGACCAAACTGATGGTTCGCTCCGCCCCGCCCACTGGCCCCAGCCGCGACGACTGGGGACTCCTTGGTAGATCGGCTTCAGAGGAGGAAGGGGGCAAGGGGCGTCGTCCTGGGTTCCACCCCCGCAGCCGGGGGTCCCAGCCTCCGCCCTCGGACTGGTCCAGAGGAGGGCAGCCTGCCTCTGCCTCCGCCTACTCCACCTCCGCCCCTCGCTCCCCCCGCCACGCGTTAAGACTCTTGTAACCCCCAGATGCTGGACAGATACACAGACACTCGGAGGAGGGTCAAAGATCTTTAAATAGAGAGCCAATGACAATAAACACTACCGGGGAGAGGAAGAGAGAGAAAGAGGGGGGAGGGGTCCGGATCTGGGGTTTCATCCTCGAGACTCCAAGGACCTGCAAGGGGAGGGGGGAAGATTGGGGAGCCAGGCTCAGGGTAGGGGGCTGGGGGCTTGACAGCAGGATTGGGGTTTGGCTGGCCCGAGACTAGGAAGGTGAGTGCAAGGGCTCCAGAGGGAGCAGGTGTCAGATGCCAGGGGCAAGAGGGAACCTAGAGGGTCCCCAGGGATTCTGGGAGAACGCATGGGCCAGGGAGGGGTGGGAGGGTCAGGATGGCCAATGAACGGAGGTGAGGGTGGCAATCCAGGTCCCAAGAGCCGCTGGCCTGGTTTGAGGGGCTGGGGCGGGGGGGTCAGTGGAGACCCCAGGGGTGCGATGGCCATGGGCTCACGAGTAGCTCTGGTGCTGTTGGCGCCGGCGGGCGGAGCGCATCTTCTCGAACCGGGCCTCCATCTCCTCCAGCACTCGCGGGGTATAGCGCACGACCAGCTTCACCGAGCCCTGGGCGGCCTTCAGCAGCTCCACGGCCTTCTCGTGCTGCTCACCCTCCACGCTCTGTAGGGCAGGGTAGGGCCACGCACACGCACACACCCACCTGGGCCTGCTGCCCCGCATGCCCCACCCGGGACTCAGAGCTACTGGGGAGGTTGAAGAGCAGAGCTAGAGAGCCCAAGGCCTCATGGGAGAATCATTGACTTCCGACTCCTAGTAGCTCCCAAAACCTCTAGCTATCATGTCAGAGCAGTCCCAAACCCCAGTGAGAGCATAGCCATGACCACCAGGCCCATTCCAGCCCTCTCCTTCCCATAAGTCCACTGACTTCCTGTTCTAACTTCTTCCTGGTCCCCACAGAACTGACTCCAAGCTCAGGCCTAGTCCTCTCATCCCTGAGCTCAAAGCCTCTCCCATTTATCCATCTCCCACAGTCACAGAAAGATGTTTCTGCACCCCCAAGCTAAGCCTATTCCTTGGCTTAGCCCCCCTGGGGACAAAAATCCCAGCTAAGAAAAACGTCTCACCAGCCTCCCAATAACCTGTCCAGTGTGCTTCCTTCAACTCTCTAACCACAAGTGATTTTAATTAGTCACATACCCCAGACCTCCATTAGAGCCAAATCCTTTCTCTTCCTCTCCGAGGAGTGGAGAATCACAGCCCTTACCTACAATATCCTCAGCCAAGATCACATTCTACCTTGTTTTCCTGAAGAACTCCTATTCACCCTTCAACACCCAACCCAATGTTTTTTCTTCTGCAAAAAAGTCCCTAGTCCTAATCCAGTTTGGGCTCCTTGAACAGCTACTTTTAGTCTTCCCCATTTCACAGCAGAACTGGCCACAGAGAGAGTGCTGAATGTCAGATAAACAGGACAAGCAGGGATGAGGCTACAGCCCTGCCCCAGCCCCCACTCACCACACCATTCACAGACAGCAGCTGGTCCCCTCGCTTGAGGCCACCATGGCGATCAGCCACGCCTCCAGGAATGACCCGGGAGATGTAGATGGGTGAGTTCTGTTCTTTGCCACCCATGATGTTGAAGCCCAGCCCCTCGTCAGTTTTGGGCAGCTCCACTACCCGAGGATGTGCATGGCCCTCGCTGGCTGTGAAGGCAGCCACCGTGGCCTGGGAGGGAGAAAGGACCCGGATGTGAGGGGTAGTCTGTGGTATGCATGAGAGCAATTTAGACTGAGGTCAACAGACCCCTGCCAGCCTCAACCAGGATCCCTGTGTGGTGGCTGCATCCCTGTCCTCCATGTACCTGCTTCAGAAATGTCATGTGAGAAAAAGTCTCTGTGTGTGTGTGTGTGTGTGTGTGAACTTGGGGCCCGAGTGCTGGTCTTTCAAGGCTGGCACTCTACCACTTGAGCCACAGCACCATTTCTGGCTTTTGATGGTTAATTGGAGATGATTATCACAGACTTTCCTGCCCTGACTGGCTTTGAATCCTGATCCTCAGATCTCAGCCTCCTGAATAACTAGGATTAAGGGCTTGAAGTGTCATCTAGCTCCATTTGCATCTTGAACACTCAGTACCTGCCAGTCTGGCTTTCTTATAGGCCTGGAAAGAACTGAGCCTCCAGGCAGCAGGGGTGGCCCAGAGAACTCTCCCAAGCTTTCTACTTAGTGACTCGCACTAGGGTGGCCTTCTAGGTAACATGCTGTGCTGGCCTCCGTGGGTTGCCTAAAGATGCCTTTGTATGACATTGAAATTAAAAACGCACAGTATTAAACATGATGACATATATGGGGTTATGCATATGTACACACAAATCGAAGAAAGGACAGCAGACTTAGAGGAGGAATCCAGTGCTGTAACTTCTTTGAACAACTAACCAAACCATTTAATGACATGAATACCAGAAACACATTGGGGGTGGGATGAGTGAACAAGGCGGGCACATGCATGGAGGAGGGGAAGCAAATACAGTCATTATACTCAAAATTATGGGCACTATTTAAAGGAAATTATAAATAAATGATCATAAGGCTGGCACAAAGATCTGGCAAATATCATAGAGGAGAAAACTGAGGGGCCTGGCTTCTGCAGGTACTGAGTTAGCCAGGGCGGTTCCGGGGCTGCCCTGAGCCAGGGGGTGGGGTGCTTACCTTGGCCGTGGCGTGAGCTCGGATCTCGGCACTGCCGGTGATGTCCAGCGTGTCGTAGAGTTGCTCGTACACCTGCGGGAAGACGCGGCCCGTCAGGGGTCCGCATGCTCCTTCCTCCCGGAATACAGGCGTCCCGGACTCTGGCCCCCGCCCCACCCCCGGGTCCCCCTCGCCCCCGCTGGGAGCCAGAGGAGACTGCAGCTCCCTACAAGGCCGAGCTCCCCGAGGCGCGGGCCGGGCCGGGGCCCCGGGCTCACCTCGCGGATGGCGGAGCAGAAGCGGCTCTGCAGGACTCGCTGGAGCGCCTGCAGCTTCTGCGGGGGCAGCTCCCCGCTGCGCTGCAGCCGCTCGAGCAGCTCCACGGCCCGGGACACGTCTGCGGGCCGGGGCGGGGCGGGGCGGCCCGGTCAGAGAAGCACGGAAGCACGCGGAGACCCCGCCGGGGAAGCGACGTGACCCGGAGGAAGGGCGAGGGCAGCGGCCCGGGAAGGGCGGCCATCCCGTTGGGGGCCTGCGGGGGCCCGGGACCCCCGCCCCGCTCCCCGACCGGCTCCGCGGAGCCCGGTCCGGGACCCCCGGCCCGGCCAGCCCGGGGGGGAGGGGGGGGAGGGCGAGCTGCCCGCCCCCGGCCCCTCCCACGCCCCCGCCCCCGCCCGCCGGCTCGCGCCCCGCCCACCCCGCCAGGGCCGCCCCCACCCCCCCACCCCCGCTGCCCCGGCCCGGCGGGCGGGGGGTCCCGGCCGGGTGGACGGCCCCCCCACACCCCTGGCGCGCTTACCCCGCTCCAGCCCCAGCGGCTCCACCAGCGCAGCCATGTCGGCGCCGCCGCCGCAGCGAGCCGCCCGCCTGCCCCGTGCTCCCGCCCCGTGCTCCCCGGCGCGGGGGCGGTGCCGAGCGAGGTCCCGCCCCGCGCCCCGCCCCCCGCCGCCGCGACGTCGCCGCCAGCCGCCAGCCGCGAGGTCGAAGCTGTCACCGCTCCCCGCGCAGCTTTGGCTCCCGTCAGCTCACCCCGACCCCGCCCCGGCCCTTCTCGCATTGCGGGTCGGGGGCGATGCCCTCTGCCCACCGCCCGCGGGAGGCCGGGGTCTCCCGACCGAAGCCCCGGAGGCCAGGGTCGCCCAGCGCGCGGGGCCGTGGGTGTGGACACGGGAGCACACAGCCACTCCTGAGCAAAAAGGGACATGGCCTAAGGTGTCTAAGGACGAGTGGGTTGGGGGACTGAAGCACGCGTGGCTTTGCCATCTCTGAAGAGATGCCAGGCGCGGTGAGCTGGAACTTGCTGTGAATATCTCCTTCAAAGATGAAGGCTGGACTAAAGCCTAGGCTTTTTAGTCTGATCAGTTTTTTGTATTTTTTGGGTCCGGTCATGGGGCCTGAACTCTGGGCCTGGGCGCTGTTCCTCAGCTCTTCAGCTCAAGGCTAGCACTCTACCATTTGAGCTACCACGCCACTTCCGGCTTTTTTCTTTTTGCTTATGTGGTGCTGAGGAATCGAACCCAGGGCCTCATGCATG